CCCCCCCCCCCCAACTCTACATGTTTTGGATGTCTCCCTTATCTGACCCATCTATTTCAGGTCTTGGCATCTCTACTAATGATCTGGTGAGTTGATTCAGATGCATTTGATTAGGAAGAGTTAAAAATGTTTAGTGTTGAGGTGCTTCCAAGAACAGGGTTGGAAAACACTGGATTACCCAAGTAATCTAAATGGAGCAGAGTCATGACTTTAAATTAAGGGTCTCCAACCCTGCTCCTGGAGACTCCAATCCCAATCAAACACACCTGAACCAGCTAATCAAGGTGTTCAGGGCAACTTGATAATTTCAGGCAAGTGTGTTGGAGCAGAGTTGGAACTGAAGTCTGCAGGACGGTAGCTAGATTGGAGATCTTATTGAAGATTATAGATTGAAGTTTATTGAGGTTGGCATTAAACCCGAGGAAAATCCTGCTCCTGGAGGGCCAACATCCTGCTGTTGGAAGCTTCTAGAAGACCTTGATTAGCGGGTTCAGGTGTGTTTGATTGGGATTGGAGCTAAACTCTGCAGGACAGTGGCTCTCCAGGAGCAGGACTGGACACGCCTGTTGTAGACCAGTGGTTCCCAATCCTGGTCCTGGAGAACCCCCAACATGGCACATTTTACGTCTCCCTAATCAAACACTGATTCAACTCATCAGCTCATTAGAAAAGACTCCAAGACTTCAAATATGTGTATCAGATAACAGAGACATCCAGGTTCTCCAAGACCAGGAACCACTGTTGTAGACCAAAGCAGGAAAGTGTAACTTTGAGTCTATGATGACTCTAGAAGGTTTGAGGTGTAGACCCCAAAATTGGCCAGAAGAAAATTCAGAGTCTTCCTAATCAATGCAACACTTCTCACAACTTTCTACCATAAGGCTCAATACGCTGCCACATACACTATACCAGAAAAAGTAGAACAATTGCAATGGTTGGTATTGCATGCAAATTAGTATGAATGTTGTTGTTCACCATTGCTGAAGTTGTAGGAGACGCTGTGTCCAGGCAGAGGTTTCTTTAGAGACAGTGGGGTCTCGACTGATGGCAGGCCCAGGAAAGAGTACTCCACAAACAGTCGGACAATTGCACTGTCTTCCGCCACTCTTGAGCCTGGCTTCAGACTCATAGAAACGATCTCCACACGAATGCACTCGGACGGCTGGTGAAGCAAAGCGTCACATGACCTTATCACAACTGACATACAACCTCACACCAGCTGACATGGTGAGACTCGCTGTGAATCTTCAGGGACTCCAATCACTCTCTACATCTGACAGAACACTGCAAAGAATAGTCCACCATTTGAAATGATGGACACCGGAAAACCTATATCTCTTTCCTGATGAAGACATGTAACCTACAGGGCATCATGGAGATGATTTGTCTATCCATGTATCATTTAATTCAATCTGTCAAACATGCCGTCCACATTGCTGGAGTGTTCAGGCCATTAAAGGGTTAGTTCACCCAAAAATGAAAATTAGGCTCTGTTTTACTCACCCCAGAGCCATCCTAGGTGTATATGACTTTCTTTTTTCAGACAAAGCCAGTCGGAGTTATATTAAAAATTGTCTTTGATCTTTCAAGCTGTTTAATGCCACTCAGCGGGTGCCCATCCATTTAAAAAAAAGCATCTCGCACGGCTCCAGGGGGTGAACAAAGGCCTCCTGTAGCGAATCGATGCGTATTTGTAAGAAAAATATCCATATTCAAAACGTAATAATCACTTTAATCTAGCTTGTGCTCACTGTTGTAAATGGAAGCAGTTCCGGGCGGATGACGTATGAGGTCGGCTTTGCGCATGCGCCGCTCAGAAGTGACGAACGCGGAAACGCAGCAGAGAGATCAAAACAAAACAACGGTCACTTATTAGAAGTACAAAACGAGGATTTGTAAAGAAGAATGTCAGAGGATTTCGATATAAGCCAAGAGGAGACTGGTTTTCCTTTGCTAAAGTAAGGAAACTTTGCTTCCTTTGATCCTGTAAACAAATGTTGGTTTTCACGATGCATGCGCAGCACTGAACTCATACGTCATCCGCCCGGAGCTGCTTCCGTGTACAACTGAT